CAAAATTTCACTTTGACTTTGAAAATTTTGAATATTATCACATTGGTCTCTTGTATGGTAAAAGACAAAGATACCCTTAAATGTATTATATAAGTACAAAAAAATGTATTGTTGAAAAGACTTTACTACCCTTTTAGTTAATAATTAAAAATCAAACACTTCCTCACTTATAAAACTTCAAAATGAGCTTCCAACACAGAAAAAACTCTCATCTTTCATCTGCTTGAATCTCAAAAAACTTTCAAACACTGAAGTCGAAATTTTTTTTCATATCAATTACTTCAAATCGGTAAATATATTTACGCATGTTTAATTTCGTTTTCAGTAAATTAGTATACGTTTGAATGGAGAAATTTTATTTCGACATATTAATAGTTAGTATAATTTTTTTAACAGAAGAACCTATCAAAAAAAAAATTGAACAGATCTATAATTTTTTTCCTTTAGAACCGTAGAAGAAAAAAATTCATACGCAAAACAGCAAAACAGCTGACTGTTTGGCTGTTTAACAGTCGGCGGTTGGTTGTTAAATAACCAAACATTCGGTTTTTGTGCTTCTATTTTCACAAAAATCGATTGTTAAAACTGTTAATTAATTAATTAATTTTTGTTGGCACTGATTTTTTTTATAATTAATAAATGAAGTTGATTAAATAAATAAACATATGAATTTTTTTGTTGTAAGTTATTAAAAAAATTCTATTTCCTTATGCATATATGATAATCCCCGTCTGTTATTTCGGTGATTTCGAATTGAATGAAAATAATCGGTGGGAATGGAGATGGACGAGTGACATATGTGGTTGTATTGCAATTTCCATAACAGAGAATACATTATACTCAGAAGTGTACCACGATTTGCAAAATAAGCTGAATGTCGATCAATTTCAATACGATATGCAATTGATATATCTATTCAACGGTTATGTGGATTCATCCATTCCGATTCCACAGACATTCGATACTAATGATGCTGAATTGAATTATCTATTAGAATTGAATAAAATGCATCGGACTCTGACTGTTCTTGGTGTGACTTTAGTTAAGAAGGATGTTATCGAAGGTGAACGCGGAAATTCAGATAGGGCGGATAATAATGACCGAGGTTTTTGGGAGACAGTGGAGATAGTTCCTGCGAATGATGTGATTATCCTTGAGACGGTTGCTCTTGATCATGATGTCACTATTACGCACAGAATTCCGTCGACAGTTGAAGATAATGAGAATATAAATGAGTTTACAAATGAAAATTTGATTGTTTTATCCCAACAGAGACGTGAGCCGGGTGGGAGCTCACAGGTTGGAACAAGTGGATCGTCTTTCAATTTTTCGCGTGTGACTCTTGATGATGAGGACTTGTATGTCGAGCAATTGTTTGAAACCAAGAAAGATTTGCATAGAAGCTGTGCACCGGCTGACATTAAAATATAACTTTAAATTCAAGGTAAAGAAATCAAACAAGTCATTGTTGACAGTTGCTTGCATTGAAAACAGTTGCAATTGGCGCTTGAGAGTAACTAAGACAGATACGAATGAATGCTTTGTAATTTGAAAGTATTCACGGGAACATACTTGCGAAGTGGGAATTCTTCGAAACGATCACATGCAAGTTCGAGCATGATTTATTGGTCGACAGATAATGCACAAGTATCAGGACCCACGGACGATCTACAGACCTTCAGACTCATTAACGACGTCCGTCGAGAGTATGGAGTGATCATGAGCTACCAGAAAGCCTAGAAGGCCAAAGAATGTGCGTTGGAGGATTTAACGGGATCGACTGAGGAGAGCTATGCTAAATTGGCCAGGTATTGCCATAACATGGGAACAACTAATCCTGGCACAACATTTTTTATTGAGACGGGGAGCGATAATTGTTTTAAGGATTTCTTTATGGCTCTCAGATAATGTATTCGAGGTTTTTGAAATGCAATGTGACCCGTAATTCTAGTTGATGGTACAACTTTGAAAGCTAAATATTAAGGCAAATTAATTATTGCTACATGTCAAGATGCCAACGTCCAAATTTACCCCATTGCATTCGGCATAGTCGACAACGAGAATGATCTGTCCATGCGTTGATTCTTTTCTAAACTGAGGGAAGTGATCGGGAAAGTCGAAGACCTTGCCTTTGTGACCGATCGGGGACAGTCTATAATAAATGGTATCGCTGAAGTTTTTCCTGAGGCACATCACGGGCATTGCATGTGCCATATACAAGGTAATTTGAAGACTAGATATAGGAGCAAAGACATCGTTTCATTGTTCAGGAGAGCAGTTGAAACTTACAGTGCTGAAAAGTGTAATAAGTTCATGTTCGAGATAGGAAGTATATCATTACCAGCGTTGGAGTATCTAACGAACATGGGGATCGAACATTGGGTGCGGTTATACTTTCCAGGACGTCGATACAACATGATAACGTCGAATAACGCGGAGTCTCTCAATGCATTATTTAAGAAGGATCGAGAGTTACCAATTCTCGCAATGATTGAAAACATTCGTAACAAGCTGCAACAGTGGTTTCATGACTGACGTGGGGCATCATAGAGTTGCACTAGCGTGTGGCTCAAGAGGAGAAACTCTTTAAAGCAGCAGAGGTTGCGATGAAATTGAATGTGAAAGCACTAGATGGGTTCCGCTTCTCCGTACAATGTGCACGTAATACGACATATATGGCGGACTTGACTGATAAACATGAACTTGTACGAGATTTCAGTTGGAGAGTTTTTCATGTGAGCATGCAGTTGCGGTGGGCCGATAAATTATATATTCAATAAATTATATTTAATTCACATACCCAATCTCGGTCCAGGCTTGGATCAGACATCTTCTCGTCTTGGGTGTGCGAAACGCCTAAATCTTGTACAAGACCCCGAGCCTCCTCTTCCATCGACGGCGTCAATTCAGGTATGACTTCAAACTGACATATTGACATTTCAACTAGTTAACGATCATGTAAACAAATTTTAAATTATGTATAATATAAATTACAAATGCACAATACTTACCTGAGGATCGTCTAGGAGGGTCGATAACTGTTTTCCAGTGGGGCGTCTGTCCTCTCGCGATGATCTCCAATGATGCATCCGAGGGCATCCTGTCTCCCCTAGCTTCGCAAAGCGGGCCTCCAGTACAGGGACTGTCTCATATGCTCAAATTTGCAACACATACACTTATTATGCATAAATATAATATACTAAAATTTAAACTTTAATTATATTAAATATTTACCAGCACTACTAAGGGCAATCCATATGTATCGTATTTACGCATTGACCCTCTGGACCTCGAGTGTGATCTAGTGAAAACATGTACGGTGTTTTCGTAGCATCTCCGGCCCCATGGATAGTTGTTGAACGCATCGATGTCGTCAGCAACTTGTAAATGAAAAATGTCGATTGCAGTCTTCTTGTGATGACACCTCATCACATTATCGAGGATATAGACCAACCCAAGCTTCAATCTATCTAGCATCTGGTCGCACCCCCTGATCGCGACCATCAACTCGGGTAGAAGCACCGACCCATGTCCCTGGAAGTACGTTTCGTACAGCCTATTACTTCTCTCAATGGCTGCATCGTCGCCCCTAATCCTCAATCTAGTGATCAAGCTAAACTTATACATCGAGAAACTGACGACCTTGCCCCCGAGGTTGAAGTGGAGGGAATCGCCGTCGACTGGCCTCAGAAGCTGACATAGAAGTGCATCGATGATCTCTCCTGAGTACTGCACCTCTCGCATCTGGTATAGTGGCCACAAGAAGGACTGTCGTAGTATATCTCTGTGATGATCATCCAGCAGCTCCAACACAGCAGTAAAACTCTCAAAGCTACTGTTCCAAGTAGCTTTCCCCGCCATCCGTCTCAACTTCCTATCTAAATGATACTTCATTCTACAAAAATTCAAATGTTAGAATATTGAACAAGAGATAATAAAATAACGCATAACCTCAAAAAATAATGGGAACCGAATTATTGACGCTAATATCAAAATAAATTCAATACAAATATAAAAAATAATTAATTAAATTAAAATACAAATTAATAAGATTTTCAGCAAAAGGAAATTATTAATATTTAAAAAATACAAAAAAGTCAAAAATTAAAGATTAAATATATTGACCAAAAAAATTAAAGAATATAAATATTATTTAAATAAATTAAATAAATAAATAACACGATTATTATTTAATCAAATGAAAATTATAAAGAAAATTAATCTTGTATATTACATTTGAAAAATATGTTTACAAAAAAGAAATTAAAATTAAATAAATAACATGGAAAATAAATTGTTACTTTCAGATAATATTCAATTATTAAATTATATAAATAAAAGACAATTAAAAACAACAACATAATTGTTAATTAATTAATTATAAAATATATTGTAAAAAACTAAAAATATATATTTTTTAAAAATTTAATGTTAACAGTCTTTGGGCCGAAACAGTCGGCCCAAGACTGTTAACAGTCTTGGCCGACTATTAAAAGTTGGCCCAATAACTGTTTTGTTTGTTAACAGTCATGGGCCAACTGTTAAACCCGACTATTAATAGTCAACGTCGTTCACAAGGCTTCTCTTCGCCGGAAATCGCCATTTTCGACGATGAGAGGTTCAAAAAATTGACATTTTCCACCCAAACATCACACAATCGAACTACTCATGCTAGTATAAAACTGAATAAATATAAAAAAAAATTCAATTGATTATATAACAATAAAAATTACAATTTTGTACGAGAAAACTAACCGAAATGGTTTCGTCCGGTTACAGATAGTAGTCATTGATCCAACTCGCGCATTGGTTGGCCGGTGTTTGATAGGAAAATGTGGCAATTTGGGCGTCGATTTTCTTTGGATCTCACTGTCGGCTTTCAAAACAGTTTGTAAAGGGTAAAATCGTCTTTTTGTGTCTAAAGTTATTTTTTAACCTTTTTTTTTTTTTAATTTACTTAATAGGTCAAACGCTGTTAAAATTTACTAGAGTCATATCTGTGTATTTCCTATCATTGGGGGAGTTGGACATTAGAGAGCTAAACCCTGGAACACTCGTTCCAGAAGCAAAACCACAAAGGAAAAAGACTAATTTGAGAGAAAGTAAAAGGAGCATTGAAGATGAACAAGAAGGAGGTGTTTAAGCTAGCAAAGGGATTCAGGGGAAGAGCGAAGAATTGCATAAGAATAGCAAGAGAGAGAGTGGAAAAGGCTCTTCAGTACTCTTACAGAGATCGCCGGAACAAGAAGCGCGACATGCGTGGTCTTTGGATCCAGCGGATCAACGCTGGCACCAGACAGCATGGAGTACGTTTTTTCTCATATTTTTTGCTGTTCTCATGTTCTATACAATTTAATCGTCTATGTAAATTGTTTTCCTGCTATATTTTAAGAATTAGGAATCTGTCTGGATTTTATTTTTTTCGTTCCTTTAGAGGTGTAAATGGTCCAGAATTGATATGGGTTCGGTGAATTTCAAAGGAAATTCTTTTAATGCCATCTCTATATTTGGTTGAGTGTTGCGTTAAGTTGTTTTAGGGTTGCATTGTAGCAGTAATTTCCTGCATTTACAAGATACAATTTCAATGTGTCTCTGTCTGCTCTATGTTGGCCAAGAGGCTGGCCTCTAATGTTTGTGCGTGTTTCTATTCAAAAACTAAATGAACATATATTATTATATAGATATAGGTACAATAAACTAATAATTTTTAATTGAAAGGATATGTAATTGCTTGATGGCATCAAGAAACTCTTTCAATGTTTGAGGGTCCTCCAGGCAATTTGTAGGGAAGGGACATGTTAAGAGTTTTAATCCCATTTTATGCATTGTGGTTAACGTAATAATTGAAAACATAGAAACATCCCCGTGAATGCTTTTAGGATATTTGGAGTATGGAACGGCTTGTAAGGTTCTGGTTCAGGCCAACTGATTACCAAAAGAAACTGGAAAGGATATACTAGAATATGCTGCCCACTTTGCTGTCGGATTGCTGTATAGCCAATAGCCTTCAACAAAAATTATCAAGTGGTCAAAGTTGTTCTGGGTGAATACAAAAAGATTACTAATGGATATCGTAAAGCATCTACGGGAAAAGTTGCAGAAGGGGGAATTGTGCAAAATGAAGAGGCCAAAATGGTGTATGTTTATCATGAATTTTGTGATGAATGCACTAGCTTTGTAGCTGAACTGAAGGCATTGCACTGAGGGTTGGTTTTGCATAAGCGGAGACAAAGTAAACCATTACAGGTAGATACAGATTGTCTAAGCCTAGCTAACATTGTGCAGAAAAAAAATAGAAAAGGCCCTGGGATTCTCTAAGCCTAGCCAACATTGTGTTGGACACGAGTTGGATACCGACACTCCTTGAACGCTCTACCTTATTATTTTTCTTTCTATATTAGAAATATTATATACTCTTAACTCAAATATATTATTAGGAAATAATATGTACTCACATTTAAAAGATTTCATCAAGAAAAATTATTAACAATTATACAACTAAATATGTACTATATAAATGAAGAATTTTAAAAATATTTATCAACCTATCATGTCAGTATTTTCTGAAAAAATTGTATGTCGTCATGTCCATATCAGTGCAGCATAGAGAGTTATCTATCCATTGGAGGACATTATTCAACTAAACGAAAGATGGGGATGCTTCATTACATAAATGTATAGAGGAGCAAATACTGCGGAAGCTTGGTTTTCCTATGAAGGTCATCTTACTAAATCCAGCAACCTAATATTAAGCAATAATATGGAAGGTAGGATCAATGGAATAATGATAACAATGGACTGGTTTATGGCTCACTAAGAAGTAGAAAAATCTGCCATTTTTTGAAGTCCATAAACATTCGGTGAGTTCTGTATCCAACAGTTTGCAAGCACTCCCTGATTTGAGTGTGTTATCATATTTTGTAAGTATAGATGTTATATGTTATATGTAATAATTTAAGTCTGCAATTACGTGTAGCGACTTTTGCATGTTTTGGAGTGCTTAATATTATTTTATTAAGTGAATAAGTGCTTGGTGATTACTGGTCGGTGCCTTTCATAGGTTATCTTGGAAAATGTCTTCACTGTGTAATGGCAGTAGTATCCCCTAGTTTAGTGTTTGAAGGAAAACCTAGGCTTATATGCTTTCAATGTAAGGGTAGTAGTATTCCCTAGTTTATTTTTTCGTTGTATCTACTATGTAAACCCTGAGGTAAGGCCCTATGCCCCTATCCATGTACTTCTCTTGAATATTAATCTACAAATAAGGAATGGTGCCAAGCCAAAATTTACAGTTGGTTGGAGCTGAAAAACTCCTAATTCTACATGGATGGAATTTATTAAAAAAATAAAGTAAATTCTTGATGGCAGTTTGTGCAGTAGATGTGTGTATATTATTCACAAAATGAAAGTGAAATGGATGTTCTACTTAACAGTGAGATAAAAAGGAACCAATAAAGGGCTGGATGCTAGAGACGGAAGGGTTGTAGGGGCATATAAACTCATATTTGTTTTCTGTGAAATGATAAAATCTAATTATTGAAGCAAATTCCATATAGATTATATCTGATGATAAGCACCAATTCCTGTTAGTCGATAGATCTTCAGCTAATGGACTTTGCCTTCTGAACTGAACATAGTATGTGGTAGTGGAATCGTAGAAACCTTCTCTTTATAAGAGAGTGAAGAGGAACTTGTAGTCAATGGGGGCCTTACATTCAAATCTGTGATCTCATTACTTCAATTCAGGAAAAACCCATATCTTTGTAATGGGCTGACTGCACCTTCGGTGCAGCAACAGTTGGGTTGTATGACTTCCTTCTGGTAATGCTGTGAAATGCTATTTTAGTCTAGGATTAGCTGAATGATCACAATGAATGCACGAGGACATTTATAATAGATTAATGGTAATTTGTATGCAAGAAGCCTTTGCCCCTTCTGTGCAATTGATTAATGCATTGACCAAAAGAAGAATAAAAAAACATTATTCTTGCACTTTTTCCTTTTTGAACTGGTAAAAAATTATTGGTGGCTGCTGGAATTTATCTAAGATGCTTTTCATATCACCCGTCCATGTGAAAAATCGGATCGGAAGTGGCTGCATAGGAGATGGGGACTTGGAGAGAGAACGTGGTAGTAATTTGTGTTCACTGTTCATCACGGTTCAGTAGTATAGTTTACTTTTGTTTCTATACCTCCATATATTTCAGTTAATTATAGCAACCCAGGCTGCCATCCCAAGCTTTGCTTCCCTTACAAACTATGAGGCACATCTTGAAACAACCCTTGTGTCAAATTGGTTGGCATTGCTTTTTTTGGGTCATATTTTCTTTAAAAAAGGATGGAAATTCAATTATTTCCAGATGGTAACCGGGGTTAATGGCAGGGGGTCTAGACAGGCATCAGGTTACTTTAGCTCACAAGCAAAGCTCCAAAGTTGAATGAATAGCTAGTTTTCTACTATGTCATCCAAGTTTCATGTCATTGACCATTACACATTCTATAAAATGTCAGGATTTTCTGGTTCTATAATTTTTTTTTTTTTTTTTTTTTTTTTTTTCATCACAGCTCCTTTCTTTCTAGAATTACAGCTAGAGCCTAAAAGTTGGACAATCTGCTAGATAGTATCAGTTTCTAAATTCTTGTTTGAGATTTAGAGTTAACTGTAGCATTTGATTACTATAGGCCTCAATGTATAAAATAAAATTGATAATTTCCCAGTAATCTAACTTCACCATTTTATTTTATTTTATTTTTTAATGTAGGCCACAAGTCTCTGACTTGTTTTCTCCTTTGGCATACAGGTGAACTATGGTAATTTTATGCATGGACTGATGAAGGAGAACATCCAACTCAACAGGAAAGTTCTTTCGGAGCTTTCAATGCACGAACCATATAGCTTCAAGGCCCTAGTCGATATCTCACGCAATGCTTTCCCTGGAAATAAGGCAGTTGCACCTCCCAAAAAGGAAGGACTTGGTATTCTCATTTAATCCATTTTATCGGTTATGTTTTCCTATTCATGTTGCGTTGAAAAACCTTGAAATTCATATCCTGTGCTCTCTCTTCTGCATCCTAACTTTATTCTAGGAGGGTTTTTGTATTAATTTCAACAGATGATAGCAGCAACTTCCACAGAATTGTATTATTGGTGAATGCTTTTGGTTCCTTTAAGAGGAGGTGTTTAAGCTTCTTTCTTGACTTTTGAAAGTTGAAAAATAAAAATTCAACTACTTAAAATTTAATTTGTTTCCAAGAAAAATTCTTATACAAGAAATATAGAAAAGACATGGTTTGAAAATATTTGTTTTTTGACTTTGAGCCTCAAATGGTAACTTTTTGGTTATGAAAAAAATGTCAAATGGAACATATAGTGCTTACACCCATTGAAGGTGCTTTTCTGATTAGGAGAAGTAAAAATGTTATGTACAACTCCAACTATTAGGGCACAAATAGCTGCTTATTTTGTACCTTAAATTGTGCCATCTTTCATATCTTGAGCCTCCTCTTGATTGAGTTGCATAAATGATAATTAATGCATTTGCCTTATAATTGAAGGGTTGAGTGATTCATGCACAACTTCTAATTACACATTCTTTTAGTAAGTCTCCATGATCTAGACTACGATACTTGGGATAAATGTGGTTCTAATTATACAGAACAATATTAAAAAGTTAAGGAGTGTATTCTTTGGGTACCAATAAGTTGATTTTTTTCTTTTGTTACCTATTCTTTTACTTTGTAGTTAAAAAAAATAAAAAATAAAAAATTGCAATTTGGTCAAAAGTAGTTCCCCGGATTTATTTTGGTGAATGTTGGTACAACCAACCTTACAGTTTTCCATTGGGAAGGCTACAACTGTCTTCCAAGAGTGTTGGAGATACTACCTCTGTAATTGACAATTAAAAATATTGTTATATAGCACTAGTAGACTTTTAGCACATCTTTATGTGACAATAAACCTCACATCCACGTGTGATACTAGTTTCGCACTAGTTTACATGATAGTGAACCCCACATATAATTGGAATGATATTTATAATATTTATCTTGATATATAAATTTGTTTGTTGGTATATTACATTTTATTTACTCAATGTTTTATCTGGCACGTTAGCTGGCTTTTTGTGGTCTAAAAGGGGTATTTTTTGGCATATTCTAGCGCATTATCTTGACACAACAAGAGCACGAAAAGGGTTCGAAAAATTTTCTACAATATTTTTCCTTTATTTATTTATTTATTTATTTTTTTTAAGTTTGATCTGAATGTTTGATAGCATACAACTGGAAGAAAAAAATAATATTTTAAAATAGAGAGATAAAACGTGATGAAGAGGTGGACAAATAATATCAAATGGCAAGAAAATGACTTGAGAGTATCTTCAAGATACTCTATTTTTAAAGAGGGGTAATTGGCACAAAACGTCTCTATTTTTCAAGCTTATTGAGGAAAACGTCCACGCCTTTCATTTTTTGACATTTTTGCCCTTATTTCCATATTTCTTTGTGCTAAACGTCATTTTTACCATTTTTTGATGTAAAATAAACAAAATACCCTTCTATTTAAACAAAACAAAAAAGAAAAGGAAAGGAAAAAATTACAACTATAAGCCCAAACTTTCCATATGTGCAAATCAGTCCAAAATTAAAAAAAAAATGTCACTAAACCACCTTAAATCGACCACCACTTTGAAGCCAAAAAACTTAGGCCAACCACCGCTGAAACCATTGGACCTCCATACCGTCGGATAGCCCTCACTCCCTTCTACACATACCACTCAACATCCAGTTACCATGCCAATAGATTTGGTAGAAATTGCAAGCCAAAATATCGAACTCGCAAATGCAAATACGGGGCGGCACCACCTGTTTCGACAAGACTCATGCCATTCCCAACATTCCAGTCGAATATATACACCAAGACGTCCCTATCCATGGTCCTCAAATGTCATTTAATTCACGCAATCAAACCAAACAGGCTGCAGCTTCGAACACATCCATTTTGCTGTTTCAGGCGAATTTTCCGGCCCCAGTGGTGGGACCCATGATCGCGGACCACCACCTCAAGTACCTACTCCTCATGGCGCATCTAATGAGCATACTGGTCTTCCCCAATTTTGCCTGGACATGACAGTTCATTCAAAAAAACGGAGAAAACGCAAAACCCTTCGATCCCATTTCAATTGGTGTTCCTCCACATCTACAACCAACAAATTACTCCAACTAGAATACAATTCAAAATGTAATGACTCTAGGTAGTGAATCAATTGCTGTAATTCACTATTCAAACAAAGCAATTTAGGATTTTTGACCGGCGGTGGAATGGGAGTGGAGGGTGAGGTGTGGAAGACGTGT